ATGATATATAAACGTTTAGAAGCCTTGGATACAACTGATTCTATGTGTGCATTCCATTTAAGATCGTTTTGAATAACCAGACCTAGGACTTTATGAGACCGCACAACCTCAAGCGCATGACCGTCGATCAACAATGGTGATAGATCAGGTGATTCCCGCAGAAAGCAAACGCGTAGTTCTTTGCACTTTTTGTGGTTAAGTTTCATAAGGTTGCACGAAGCCCAAGAATTTATAGTATCAATACAGAATTGAAACTTTGAATTGCTGCCCTTTGTGATATTTTCAGATGTTGATATGTCATCCACAAATTTCCAAATATCCGTTGCGTGTGGTTTCACATCGAGATCATTTATCATCGCCAAAACCAGAATTGGACCGAGTTTAGTTCCCTGGGGGACACCCGCATTCATTGGCAACCAGTCTGACGTTTTCCCTCCAAGTTTGACCCGATGACGGCGGTTAGTTAGGAAGTTGATAATCCAAGGCAACAGGGACGATCTAACACCTAGGTCCAACAGCTTTAATATTAATAAATTATGTCCTATACGGTCAAACGCCTTTTCGAAGTCAAGGAAACAAAGGCTAAGATGTTTTTCAGGACACTCTAAGTTGCACAACCAAGTGTGGATCATGTCTAAAAGACAATAAGTTGTGGATGTTCCTTTCAAGCATCCAAACTGCTTGGGGTCGATCTTGTCTTTAATATCGGTTATCATCCACCCGACCACGAAATCTTCAAGAACCTTAGCCAGGCAGGGGGTCAGTGAGATGGGTCTGGTGTCACCTTCACAGGTAGGAGGTTGTGATTTTGGAACTGGAATGATGTCTGAGTCTTTCCATATTGCAGGCACGATTCCAGATGAAAGTGATTCGTTGAAAATAGTTGCAACAGGTTCGGCTAATTCATGGGAAAACTCTTTCAGGATACGACAGGGGACGTTGTCTGGGCCGTGAGCTTTGAAAGGTTTAATTTCTAAGAGCTTTTTAGATACTTCATGCGGTTGAACTGTTGGAGCAGGTTCTTTGGCCGGAAGAAATGCCGGGAGTGTCGCTAAATTAAGTGGTGGAATGTCACTATTCACCGATGCATAGAACACATTCAAAGCTCTAACTAATTCTGATTGATCCAGAGTTCTTCCATCATGTTCAAGCGAGAAGAAGTTCTTTCCAGATTTTCCTGCCATTTTATTTACGATTTTCCACCACATACGGCAGTCATCCTTCTTTAAATGTTGTACCTTTGTTTTGTAGTACGATATTTTCCTCGCATTGATTTCATGTTGGACCTTATATTTCAACGATTTTCACAAGATTGCATTATGACCATGAAACGCCTTTTGTCGATATTTGATAAGCTGTTTTATTGCAGGTGTTATCCATGGTTTATCGGTGTGATGACGTGTTGACGTCTGTTGTGGGAAGATTCGGTCAATACTTTCTGTTAACTGGTTTGTAAACGAGATTGCCAAGCTATCAACAGTAGGGTTGGGTTCAAGGTCACAAAACCAATTATGTGTGGTAACCCATCTTCCGAAAGCATCTATTCCTGATCTGGGATAGCGCCGTACTAAGGATTTAACAGGTTTTGCTTGGATGTTGTGGCTGGGCATGCTATCGACTGAAGGTAGCCAGTGTACAATATTATGGTCACTGGATCCTAATGGAGCAAGGACATTAGGGCGGTCATATAAATTATACAGGTTTGTAAGAATAAGATCGAGTATTGCTGATTCTCTAGTGGGTTGGTCAACAACTTGTTTAAGATTTTGACTGGTGGTCAAACTGCGAGTTTCAAGATCATTAAAATCACCCATAATTACTAGACCAAGGTCAGGGTGGTTATTTCGAAGTAGGTCAATAGTGTTAATTAAATGTTCATTAAGATCACTGTGTTCCGATATTGTCAGACCAGGTGGGTGATACACGACACAGATAACGATACCGGATAGAGGTCTAGGGAGGCTTTTCGGTCGAATGCTCAGCCATAAGCATTCTAAATTCTCACTTTCTAGGTCTACCCGTCGTATACAAGGGATGTCTTTTTTAATATAGGCACAAACTCCGCCACCTCGTCCAATTGCGCGATCTTTACGGAATAAATTGTAATCGTTAATTGACAATAAGCTGCTGTCTATGTGTTCGTGTAACCATGATTCAGTTATTGCGATAATGTCAATGGGCTTGAAACTTAGTAATGCTGTCAATTCGTCCAGCTTTGGAAGGAGTGAGCGGGAATTAAGTAAAAAGAAACATGGGAGTATCATTTCTTTGTTAACCTTATAAGCATGGTTTAAAGTTGTAATATGGATTAGGTTGGAGGAGGGAAAATAGCAATTCTTGCGCTTCTTGTGCTGTTTAAACGTTCTAGAACGATCTGTAATATGGACGGAGATGTTCGTTTTATTTTTGGTTTCATTTGGTGTCGATATTTTATGTAAGGTTAAAAAGGACTGTGGACTTATTCCATCCGGGATGTATAGGAAAGAGGTTTCGCTATTCAAAAAACGAGGGGTCACATTGGTATAGTCCATAATCTCAGTTGGGTAAAAGTTTAGGTCATTATCGTCATTATCGCTAATTTGTACAGGATCACCATTATCACGGACAATTTCCGCGTGGAATAAGTGACTTCGAGAGGTTATTTGTTCTTCGTTACTTGACGCACAAATTCGAGATAGACTGACCATTCTTCCATTCCGGAACGACAAAAATTCTGATTTACTGAATGTTTGAGACGATTGTGCTTGGGGAAATGTAGTTGAAAACCCCGAGTACGGTTTTGTGATGGTTGTTGTCGTGTAACTTGATACTGATTAGGTTTCTTGCAGCTAGTAGTTTTACTAGAATAAGTTCTATTAGAGCGACTACGAGTGTGTGTGCGGCTGGAAGTACACGTACAAGACGTATCAATCAAGGGTAAGGAGTTAATCCAGGATGAATTTTGCCGTAAAGATCGCGAGTTGGGTAAAATACTTTTCCTATGCGATTTGACATTCAGACCTTCAGATGGATTAGGGCTATTTTCTTCGTAAACGCCGTACAAACATTTGCCCGCTTCTGTTTAATAGTTGTTTATGCTTTATTGATCTGATACAGATCTGATGCAATTTTTCGCTCTTTGTACTGAGTGTAGCCATCTATTCTGTAATGTAGCACCTTATACAGTCAATGAGAATGTATAATGAATACACGGTCTAAATAATATCGATGGGCACTTACTTGAATGCCAGTAATGCATAACATAATTTTACATATTGTATTATTGCGTAGAATCTCAAAGATTTTCTCAATATTCATGTCTGAAATGTTTATATACTTGAAAACAACACTGTCTCGCTTCTGCCTACGTACTGTAGCAATGTATAATGAGTATGCCGTGAAAATAATATCGGCACTCAATTGAATGCCTTGAATCTCAAAGATTTTCGACTCAATATTTACGTCTGAAATGTTTATACACTTGACTGCACTGTCTAGGTGGTCTAGCTACTTCCTAGCTCTGTATAATGAATATACCGTCTAAATATTATCGGCACTTAATTGAACGCGCGTAATGTATAAGATCAATTTGTATTTCGCGTAGATTTTCAAAGATTTACTCGATATTCACGTCTGAAATGTTTATACATCTGAAAACAACACTGTCACTCCTTCCTAGCATATCGTCACACCATCGTGATCTACGGCTTGATAACGCATGCGCATTTGCGCTACTAAAGAAAAAATCGGGTGTTCCGGGGTAAAGATCCTTTACACAATATGAGAAGCGAATGTTCTAAAATTTACAAAAAATTACAATAACGAAAGCAATTCCTCGAAATTTTTGCGAACTTGGCAAAAGGATAACAGAATATGTAAATAAGTTAACCGAAATAGCCTAAATAACCTTCAAAATACTGACTAAGTACAATAAATCACTGACTGACTGATTCGTGTGAATTTGCCAGCCATCACAATAGTGTGAAGTGAAACTTCACACTAAAAAATGAGTATGTATAGCATACAGAACCACTATTAAATTTATTATCAAGACTGAAAATACAATTTCGATCAACTATTTCAAATTCAGCAATATTTATAAACAAACGTGACCTTAATTAAGTCGGTTTTCCACCTGGTTATTTGGAGGTTCGTATCCTTGGTTCAGTACATGCTATGCAGATCTTTGGTTCAGTACAGCGTGTGACAAGCGCGTGCGAGTAAACCCCGATATTTGAAAAATTAAAAATAAATATTTCTACCAGACGTATTCAAACGAAATTTTCTACACAAAATCGCTTGAATATTATTATTTTACTGCTATTGAGTTGTGGCAAATTCGGAAGAGTTCAAGAGATATTCATGTATTCCTCGATATGAAATACAGAAGACTTCGCCGTTGAATTGTTTCGCTTTGTAAAAAATCTTATTATATTTGACCATCCACAAAGATGCAAGCACTAATCAATGAGGTCTATCAATCATGCATTAAATTATGATTTTATTTTCACAAAGGCGTATGTTATTTTATAGCTTAAAAATACGCTTTGTTTCGATGTTACACTTTGTCCCACTTTGTGTTGCAAATCGTACAGATGCTTCGCGGCGGTTCGCGCCTTTCCCCGCCTTCGCCCTTTCCCGCCTGCGCTCCTTCGTCCGGCGGCTCGCTCGTGTTTCAAGACCCGCCATGTAAAGTGTATAGTGAAATGTATCTCAATACTAATCGTAATCATAGTGAACAGAAGCCTCTGCGGAGAGGAGAGCCCACGCACCATGTTTACCTTTCCTGCCTTCAAGAAGAAATTACTTTGAAATGGGACTCTGTTTTTGGTGACATTTTGTATTTTAAGGCAAGCGACGCAAAATTAGGCCCGGTATTGGGGCAAAAAACCTTACCGCAGCAGGAAAATAAGGAGGTTGCTAGGAAGACCGCTGGACCATGTGCAGATTAATTTTGTGAGGCCTGGTCCAATTTTAGATAGATATATATAGATATTATATTAAAATCATAACATTGCATTCACAAGCCTGCATGAATTCATTGAGTTACAACATAAAAATGTATTGATAAGAGTTTTTAAATTAAAGTTATTACATGTACCTAAAAAAACCCGTTTGAACTAAACCACAAACTAAACTAACAAAATTAACTGCACAACAATCGAATCAATTCATTTCAAGTTTTTCAGTTTTAACACATGTGACATATGCGATATATTTTCCACACTTCAATTAAATTTGAACATTCGATTTCTACTTATTTATTTTGTTGTCTCGTGGATAAGGATGATGGCTCTACATGGGACTGCGTTGGTTGCATATTTTAAGAGCAGCACATTTTTAAACCTTTTTTTGCTTCTTTCTTCAACATTGGCTGGGACCAGAAAAAGACGATTGAATTGAGACTGGAATTTAGTACAACTAAAGCGATCGTCCAGCTCGAAAGCATTTCGATGGTTTCGTCATCGAGATAAGGTATCTCTGGTAAAGGAACCATTGACGGTAAGAAACATAGACCAAAAATACATGTCACCAAAAAACAAGATTTTGCTAACTTCAAATCTCTTAGAAAACGTCGTTTTCTTTTCATCTCGGCTATAGGCCCTTGTGCAGCTGCCCCATCTCCTTGTCTGTTACCCGAGTAAAGACTCTTTCTGGCCGTGATAAAAATCCTCGTGTAAACGTATACTAGAAAGAATACTGGAATGATCACATCGGCAAAAAATACTATCTTGTCAAATTCGTTGGAGTTATTTAATATAGTCGGGATGCCGAAGAAAAGGAGAATTAGAAGTGCTGCACAACATTCAGAAATCATAATTCTCTTTTTTGAAACTTTAGTGTGATGAATAAAGGGATGTACAACGCGCATATATCTCTCAAAGCTTAATAAACACAACGTGAATACGGACAATGTAATTGGGAAGTATACTAAAGTAAAATTTACCCAACATATAACCCTATTCTCAATACGAATAATGTCTTTGAGTAGTACGTGTGCCGTTAATAAAGGCAAGGTTATAACACCTGTGATAACATCAACTGTAGATTGAATTAAAATGGTAAAGTTGCTAACTTTCTCCTTCAGTTGAGAACATTTGCGAATAGTAAATATTGAAATACCATTTATAAATTTATAAATGGGCGTTGTGAAAACCCGGAATGCCGGAATATCACGGAATATGGCGGAATATCACGGAATATGCCGGAATATCACGGAATATGGCGGAATATTGCGACATTTTCCCGGAATATACCGGAACATCACGATATTTTCCAATGGTAGCCATGGGCATGTACTAAAAGGCGAAACGTCGAAACGAAACGACCGAAACGAAACGGCCGAAAATGTAAATTACAGGAAAATTGAAAAATGCGGATACGGACGGACGGGGGAGACAGGCGGATGGACGGGAGAAGAGGCGGATGGACGGGGGGGACAGGTGGATGGACGGGGGAAGAGGGGGATGGACGGGGGGGGACAGGCGGATGGACGGGACGACAGGCGGATGGACGGGGGGGGGAGACGGCTTCATTTGACACGAAACTCAATTTTAAAATCAAATCCGCGTTTTGTTGAAAGGGATATATTAGGATATATTATAATAGACTATTATTAATCGTAATAAATTGTCCGCGAAAAGTTGATAAAATACATGTGGAAATGCGGGGTTTTTCCATAAAACGCGGATATGCTGCAACTTTCATGCTTAATTTTCTCAGTCATCTGGGTATGTAGTAATCTAATTTTATGCAATGTAATGTGTTATATTTTCAAGGGCTTTTCAATGCAGTTATCGGTTTAAATATACCTAAAATTCCCGTTAAGAGATATGACAATTGCCGTACGGCCTACTTTTACGCAAACGAAAATTAGCTACAATTGCCACTTTCATGCTTAATTTTCTGTTATCCGGGCATGTAGTAATGTAATTTTATGCCAATGTTATGTGCTGATGAAATTTGCAGTGGTAATTTGCGTTTGCGTAAAAGTAGTCCGTACGGCAATTGTCATATCTCATCGGGAATTTGAGTATATTGAAAAAAGTCCTTGAAAAAACAGCACATTACATTGCATAAAATTAGATTACTACATACCCAGATTACTGAGAAAATTAAGCATGAAAGTTGCAGCATATCCGCGTTTTATCCGATCAAGCGTTACGAAGGTTTGAAAAACCCCACATTTCCACATGTATTTTATCAACTTTTCGCGGACAATTTATTACGATTAATAATAGTCTTTTATAATATATCCTAATATATCCCTTTCAACAAAACGCGGATTTGATTTTAAAATTGAGTTTCGTGTCAAATGAAGCCGTCCCCCCCCGTCCATCCGCCTGTCCCCCCGTCCATCCGCCTGTCCCCCTCCCGTCCGTCCGTATCCGCATTTTTCAATTTTCCTGTAATTTACATTTTCGGCCGTTTCGTTTCGGTCGGTTCGTTTCGACGTTTCGCCTTTTAGTACATGCCCATGGCTACCATTGGAAAATATCGTGATGTTCCGGTATATTCCGGGAAAATGTCGCAATATTCCGCCATATTCCGTGATATTCCGGCATATTCCGTGATATTCCGCCATATTCCGTGATATTCCGGCATTCCGGGTTTTCACAACGCCCCATGATATTGATATAAATCATATCGTGTCTGCTCGTTGCCACAAATTAAGCAGATCATTTATAAAATGAAGGAATTTTCATAT